TACTTTAATACTCGATACCTCATTTGGCGATTTTACTCGATACTTTCCAAAGTACTCGTAGTATCGAATACTTTGTAAAAAACACACTTTTTAAATTTTGTCTTCCATATTGGCAACCCAATTTTCTTTGCTTATATGGATTACTATCATTCAATTTTGTCCATCTCTTAAAATAAACTGAAATTTCGTGTAGTCTGTTACATAACATAAACCAAATACGTTAAAGTTTAATGGCCTTATCATAAAAAATAAAGTAGGCTTCAAGAGCTTAAATAAAATGACACTTTCATACATTTTTCAGTTTATAAACCTTTTTTATTTTTTATGAATAAGGCTATAAAACTTTACTTTAAAGTTCACGAAAATACAGAATTTTTAGAAACTTTTAGGGTGTGCAGTTTTGTAACCTATTCAACTTTCCGTGTAGCCTACTACCGTTGACTTTTAGTTAAAACTTGTCTATTGTTTTAATTTCAGGAAATAACTAGATATACGATTGAAGAACAAAATAATTTTATACTAGGTTCACATATAAGTAGATTATCCTCATTTTCGAGCTTAACACCCTAATCTGTAATTATAACAAGAGATTAGCCATATAAAATTCGTCCCTTGTTAATCTGTAATTATAAAATAATCTCAGATTAAACCGATAACTTTTCGGTGTCCATCCTAGTTTTATCGATTGTTTTTGCGAAAAAGAGGAGAAATGCCAAATGTAAAAGTAAACAAAAATGTACGCTAGCAAGGAAAAGAGGTTTGTAAAGGTATTTTTAATAAAATGTTAAGTTAAAATATATTTATATTGCTTATTATAGCATAAAAACGTGATCACGGTGGCACATTGAAGAAACATAACTTTTCCTTGAGATGTGAGAATAACAAGCACAACAAATTTGACGGCTAATAATCTGAGATTTGCCTGTGTAAACGGGGTGATTAAAATACGAGCTTTGATTGTGATAATATTGATATGTGAACATAGTTTTAGTATACCAAGAAACGTATTTTAATGAGTCCGATACTGAGTAGTATCGATACTTTTTCCCTGATACTTTTAGAGTATCGATACCATGAGCTCGATGCCAGAATGAGTACTCAGTATCGATACCAAAGTCTGAAATTTCGAACGAAAAAAGTTATTTTCTAGCATGATTCAATTATTAAAGGTTTTGTAAGTAGCTTTTTTCTAAAATTTGGCACTCCCACCCACAGGGATGGTTTTTGGAAGCAGAAGAAAAAGGGGAAGAATTCAATCACACTTCCTAAAATGGGAGCTAAATTCTATAAAAACGTGTGGATAATAGTGAATGGTGGTATTTTAAAACAAAAACGAATTTGATTTAATTATTTAATTTAAACAAGCTTAGTTACATCGAATATAACCCCCTATTGTTATTAAAAATAAATATTTCTATGTTTATACCAAACTTGCGTACGTCAGATGGCGCATAACTCGAGAATGGATGGTCCACTTTCAGCTTTTTTTTGTTGTATTTGTTTGCCAGTTGATGGACATGAAGAAGCTATTTGTTTGCGGAAAATATGCAATATTTATTAAACAAAAAAACGGCAAATAAAAAAATTTGGAGCTTACGTTTCTTTCGCGGTTATGGCTCGATTGTTTCGAATTCTTTGATGTCGCACTTTTTATGTTCTGGGGAAAATATTCAACACTGGCTTGCACAGCCGCAGTTGGCGATTGGTGCCGGACGAACTCAGAGCACGCAGCTACTGAACGACTGAGATAGGGAACGTGATCTACATCGTCAAATGAGAAGTGGCGTAATGGGGCTTTCGCACGAGGCGATTTTTCAGGCAACTTTTGCGTTCAACTCCCGCCGGGTTGCACGAAAAAAAATTTGAATGACTAAAAATATCAAAATATAAAAAAATATTAAAATATTCGCCATAAAAAGGCGTTTGTATTGTTCAATTTTGCATTCTACTTTCAGCTAATCGCTTTCAATAAAGTTGGTCGCCAGCCAACATTCGCCTCGTGCGTACACCTTTTAAGTGTGCAATTACATCGCGCCATTGACTAAACCGAGCTGTCGTGTGACGATTGGGCCTATGGATGCGGTTTGGCAATGTTATATTGCGTCAAAATCTCATTCGGAGACACCAGGATTGTGTCGTGGAGTACAATACCTAAATACCTTCGTTGGCTCATTGAACGCTTTACTTTACAGCGACTTGGCAGAATCAAGAGGTCTCCACGAATATCGACAAATACATTTCGGCATTTAAGGGAATTTCGTTTCTTAACATTGAATTTCTGTAGTCCAACGATTCTCACCCATTTTGTCTTGTTGGCGCCAGCGAATGCAGAACAAACATTTCTTCAAATTTAAAAAGTAAAAATTTCACTACTAACAATTTAAAAATGTTCTTAAAACTTGCAAAGAAATTTGGAAAAGAAATATCACTGTTTTTGTTTTTAGGAGTAGGGTGGGAGTGTCATTGATAAAATTAGAGCGAGAGAAAGTTTTTCTTACAAAACCTTTCATTATTGAATCATGATTTTCTAGCTGCCGAAATCTCGACGCCATCTTTGTTGTAAGAAGTAAACAACGAAGAGAACGGAGAAAACCGCGAAATTGTTGAACGCATGAAAAATCATTTTTATTATGCAAATTCTTCTATAAATCGTGCCGTTGTGTTAAATTATTCTTTATTTTATGTGTACACACGTTGTCACAAGCGAAAATGAAGAAAATTGCAGTAAAAAGCCACCATCAAATTGTAAACAACGAAGAAATGTAAACAAACGGCTAATGTCAAAATCGTTCAACTTTTTTCCTAAATGCGATTCTAACGGGCTAGTCTCCTGCCCGCGTGATCTTGTCTTTTTGGTTCATGTGAAATCCTGGTATGCAGGGTATACATATACACACGAATATGAATAGATAAAGAAGATGTTGACACAAGGAGTTCATACCAACGGTAAATGTTGTTTTTTTTTTTACGATTGCTACAACCTGTAGTTGTTGAATCATGAGTTCATACCAACGGTTAGGGCCGGTTGTTCAATGTCTGATTTGCACAGCTTGCAATGTCTGATTTGAAGCTCCGGTTAAATGATGCCATATGGCATCAAAAATCGTAGAAATTGCAAGTCTTCTATTAACAAGTACCCAGAGCGTGGGAAACACAAGAAACCACGTTACGTGCCCGGAACAAATCAGCTCTAATAAATGATTTTAGGGAAATGTTTAGTAGCGCTCCAAAGGCCCTCCACTGGAAAGGGGACAGTCCCCGCTGTCTAAAAAGGCGTACTCCTCCCTTGTGCTCCTCCCACAGTCCCCTAGGGTACTGTTTGAAAAAGGGGGAAAAACGGAATTTTCTTAGGCAAACTGAGCAGTTTGAAATGGAATATGACCCAATTAACAGAAACCGTGGGATTTTTTAATAAAAGAAATTATGCCAAATTAGATATCGGGTGATTTTGAATAAAGAATAAAAAAAGTTAATTAAAAATAGGAAAACAAGTTTTTATAAAAAAAAATGTTCTTTTTAACAAATGTATTTTTGCGTAGAATTCCTTTCTGCGTAGGCGGCCTTCGGCCGCACTTAGGGATTATAACCCTCAGGCAGTAGAATTCTCCTTTCTGTTTTGCGAAGAAAAGGAGCTGAACACCTTTTGCAGAGAACACCTTTGTATATTTTTAATGCTTCTGGGTTATATCCTATCTTCTTTTGTCTCTCATTCTTTTGCATATTTTGGAGTTTGACAGCTGAACTCCGCCATTAAGGGCCGGTTACTCAATGTCTGGTTAACACTAATGTCCGGGTGAACATTGTTATCGACGTATTCGACTCCATTCATATAACAGGGAGTCGGTAACGTCTATAAAGATGTTTAACCAGAGATTAGTGTTAACCAGACATTGAGTAACCGGCCCTTAATTTGCATAAGTCAGACGGGTGATTTTGAAGGTGTTTTTATTTAATGAATTGTGATTAATTGGTTAATATTAAGGGCCGGTTGCTCAAAGCCTGGTTTACACTAATCCCCGGTTAAACATCATTATCGATGTTACCGACACCATGTTATTTGCATGGAGCCGAAAACGTCGATAACGATGTTAATCGGTGATTAGTGTCAATCAGGCTTTGAGCAACCGGCCCTAAAGTCGTAAAGCAAGTTATAACTAATCGAGTAAAGTGTAAAGTGAAGGGGAATACAAAAATGTATTGGTGAAGTGGCTGCTTTAAGGAGATTAGGAGTGATAAATGTACGCTAATTTCCGAATTTTGCAAAAAAGGGCATATTTCAAACCCAATTTGTAAATAAATTCGTGACCAAAATTTACAAAAGTGAGTGTTAGGGCCGGTTGCTCAAAGGCTGGTTGACACTAATCATCGGTTAACATCGTTATCGACGTTTTCGACTCCATGCATATAACACGGTGTCGGTAACGTCGATAACGATGTTTAACCAGGGATTAGCAAGAATGATAGAATATAGGATTGCGCCGTCCTGGCCGTTGACATTTGTGTACCACAAGTAAACAAAGAATATAGACAAAAGTAGAACGAGTTGAAACTGTCAAAACAGTTCACTTTACAGCGAAAAAAGTGTTTTAATTTTGATCAATGTGAAAACCCCCCTAATTCGAAAGGGGACAGCCGCCACATTACGAAAAGCACCACCCCCCCTTGGGGACCTCCCACAGACCCCTAGGGAACCGTTTGAAAATGGGGTAAAAACGTAATTTTCCGAGGCAAACTGAGCAGTTTCAAGTGGAATATAACCCAACTAACGAAAAACGTGGGATTTTTAAATAAAAGAAATTATCCCAAGTACTACGTAGAATTCTCTTCTGTGTTGCCAAAGAAAGGGGGTTGAACCCCTTTTGCATAGAACACCTTTCTGCGTAGGCGGCCTTCGGCCGCACT